GTAAAAAATGTCACCTAGACCAGTATTTATTATATAATATTTGGAAGTTGGTAGTCACAGTCCCCAGCATCAAACTTGTTCACAAAAGTAATGTGTAATTACTTCACTAATTAAAATTGCTCCTTGCCAGCCATCAAATATTTTCAGTTTATTCCTTTTTTTTTTCAATTGGATGTCACTACCCTTCACTTATTTCCAGTTTGTTGTATACCTTGAACTTAGATGAACATTCTTGAGAGTCAAAAGATGCATTTTCCATCTTCATAAGATTAAATCTCCTTTGAATTCAGTTCTCTTATGTGACCTGGCTAAGACATAATTTTTTTTTTTTGTTCCTTGCTGACTGATGTGAAATCATTGTCAGCTGGGTTATAGTTTTGAGATACGTTTCTCTGTTAACATGAACTGTGTGAGAACTTGTGTGAGAGATTTCAAGAACACTTATTTGGAACACAGTGGTGTAATAATATACAAAGAATAGCCTTTGTAGTTTCTCTTCATCAACYGGACCTCCTCTAGTTGAATGCACTGTATCAGCTGGAGAAATCTCCAATCTTTTGATAAAGAATTCCTGATGGCTTCTAAATATCCCTGTTCTTTATATGTTGTATTCTTTCAGAGCCCCTTCAAGTGAGTAATATTTGAATATATGCTGATTCATATTTAGTTTCTCTTRTGTTATGTTTTTACTGATTTATCTTCTTAATGCATTTATCTTTAGGATCATTTTAATGGTTTTTGTGTAAATCCACCTACCTTCTCTTTGAATCACAAAACACCTCTTTAAGCTAGACTAGCTTATCCCATTGTTTTTCTTCTATATTTTGCCTTGGTTAGTTGAATGGCTTTGGTGGGGGTGGAGGAAGCAGATTCGGGGTATRTGGAACTCTGCTGAAGAAAGTAGGAGCATCACATGTGCAGTTTTGCTCTAGATTTCTAAACCGATCATTCCTTTGAGATAAAACAGTAACTGGAAAGAAGTAATAGCAGGTGAAACTGAAAAAACAAGGGAGGTCTTTTTTTCCTCTTAGCATGAACAAACTTATGAGTGTCAGTGTTTCACATCCAAAAACTTGTTTTAAAAGGAATAACTTTATAAATCTTAATTAACAGCATGTGTAGTTACATTGATAAATATGAAGTGAGTTTCGTGATTTATGATTCAGAAGAGGATATTCACACCATTGCTCTGCACATTCCTTATGGCAACTAGGTTAGAAGTACAAGGGAACTTAACAGCTAAATGGAATAAGAAGCCATGGCTAGAAACTGACAGGGACTGTGATACTCCACAAGTCATATTAATAGTTTTCTTAACTCATCATTCGTCATTATCTCTGCAGYAGTAATCAAGTGGGAGAAGTTACATTTTTCTTATGTGTACAGCAAATAATATGAACTTAATTTGGATGCTGTGTAGTACAATCTCTTGATTATCATGATTCCAACATTGTGTGGCCAGGTCATTGAATCAGGTACTTGACATCTTTTTAAACTATTGCTGTAAAAAAATTGTGAGTTTTACCTTTACCTTGTGAGTTTTACCTTTATTCAATTTCAGAAYTAAGTCATTTATTCATATCAAAAAGGTGTTGTCATTATGAATGATTCATGTATTGCCCAGGATTTTGGAAAAAGTCTGACCGAGGTTTGATTTTTAGAATGTGGATAGGAAAAATGTGTTTCTGAAAGATTATGTCCTGCAAAATTCCAATTTCTTTGTCAGAGTGTAAGCAGGGAAACTTTAGAGTAGCACAAATAGATCATATTATCAGAARGGGAAGGAGTCTAAGATAGGTAGTGTTAAATGTCTGAGGCTACTTTTCCTGTTGTGGAACTCCTCCTTTAAATAAATCCAGCAAAAGGCAGGGTCTTGGCTTAGCTAATTGTTCAGAGATGTTCTTTATTTTTGACAAGTGTAACTGATAGAGTAGGTACATTAGATATGTATTTAAGGTTAGGTCTCCTAAATTCTTTTTCTGGAATAAAATCAAGGATGAGGATAAACAGGTACATTTYTTGTGCTTCATTGAGTAGAAGGTAGTGGAATAACATTGAAACCATATGTGAGACTTCTGCTTAGAAAACACTTTCTGTTCACTCATCTTCTAACAGATCCATTAATCATACTTGAGCATTCCTCTTTGCTCCCTGTTTCGTTCTAGTTTCTTTGCTTCCTAAGTTTTCTTACACTGGCGTCCTATCTCATTGTGGTTCAACTGTAACTCTACCTTGTTCTTCAGATATCAAGATAGGGATACTGATGGCTAATTTTTAGCTATTAACTCCTGCTGTTATTCTGTTGTGAATAAGAAAGGGATAATATAATGCATTTATAAATTTTCAAGTGCACTATACACTCTTAGTTTCCTAGAATGTTCCCTACATAGCACCCTTCTTCCTTCATTACATTGCRTATCTTCATTCATCACCTTCAGAGTGTTCCAAAACCCTCAAGTCTTTCAGGTAACATTTTGCCCATAACTACTTGGTGTTGCTCCTGCCTTATCTCTTAATCCACTTATTTAGTTTCTGTTGTGGTACAGATATTTTTTATTTAGATCACTTACACACATTTTTCATTGTAATCTCTTCCAGCTACCAGTGTTCATCTATGATGGAGTTCTTGTGTCTAGCTGAGTTTCTGAAAGACAATAAATGTATAATCCATGCCATTTTCTGAATTGGAAGTTCTAGATCATCCTAATGTTGACCAGAGAAAGATAACGATATACCTGAATTCCTTTCTATGGTATTTGCCATGAAAAAATACGGGGTTTTTATTCCTGTTGTTGCTTGCCTACTTGGTAATACCCTATTTAATTCCGAGAGCAGATGTAGTATAGTTTGTGGAATACTCATATAATTCTGATTCATCCCTTGAGAAGCATTCAAGTTGCACTCTGCAGTGTTCCTGTAGAAGACATGTTGTCATGTATATTAACTGTCCTACGGATGTTAAACAAGACTCGAACTTATACTATCTCCTTGTAATTTATATTTCCAAGCATTTTGAACTTCATTGCTCTCAATGTAAACATTTTGTAAGTATTTATATATATATTTTGAAGAAAGACTAAATAATATTAGTTATATGCACCTGTAATATCTCCAGTCTAATTTCTGACTGAATCCTAAACCTTCAGAACAACTTGAGCAGCCACAATACCCACACTGAGTAATCTAAGAAAAAGTTCTTCCCTGAGGGCCAATGCATATTGCTGTCACAACTTTTCCTCAAGTTTCTGTGTTATGTAGCACTTTTCTTAATGCCCCAGTTCCATGTCATTATATGAGATTATAAGCATTAATTTTTTTTCTATTTCTCATTTTCCAAACAAAACTAATACATTATTCATTTTAAAAGTTTCAAATTGATAAAATGAATTGAGGTTTTACTGGATGTCTTGTTATCTGGGACTGGTAKTACCTCAACCAGAATACTGGGGAAAGCATCTTTTTCTCTAACTCCTGTTTTCTGTTCAGATAAGAATATTCTTCCAAATTGAGGCACTTCTTTTCTCTCAATTGAGAGATACATAGCTAATAGGTAGTAAGTCAGTTACAACTGCAAATATTTTAATTCAATGTGTCTTCTAAAAAAAGACATAGTTTATTTAAAATGATGGTTTCTTCTTGGTCTGTATAGTAGAATTGATTGGAGATTTACTTCGAGTCCCATGATAACAGTAATGTGGGTGTTTCACTTGAGAGTTCAAATCARATGCTATTTTAATGCTGTAAGACCAGGGAAGGAAAGCAACAATTAACATGAATGTTTCCAGTATRTTTTGCTAATTGACATCCTATCCAAACTAAATAAATTGTTAAGATATTGTTTAGTTGCATTGTTTTCTTGAGAATCAAATAGAAGTAAAAAAACAAAATATTTGGTTGACTGTTTTTTGAATAGGAATTTCACTGTTTCGCATGCGTCATGTAAAAAAAAAAAAAAACAGGACAATTTAACTTGTACGTTGCTAGTGTGCTCCAGAGCATTGAATTTCCATGGTTCATTCAATCTATGGCTTCCTTGCTGAAATTTCTTAAAGAAAATGTAGTGTGATTTGAAAGGGTTCACTTCACTTGTGTGGGATTTTGTTTTACTTAAGACAATAAAAACTTCCAGTTCAGTCTTGGCTCAGACTGGTAGGATGTTGCTAAAGTAATTTTTACTGTCTTCTTCCTCTCTACTTCAAAAGTCACATGTTYACTTTATCAGTAAAAGGTTTATTTACCAGATTAAGCAATTCTGAAAAAAAACTTTTGCTGTAACTGAATGTTTCATTTTACATGCAATATGAAGCCTTTTGAGCAGCTACCTCATTTGTTTCTTCCATCCTCTTCATCATCTAGGAAAAAAAATAATAAAGGAAAAGTAATCAGCTAGGAGATGTTGGGGGTCATATACATGATGTATTTAAATATTTAAAATATTTAATATTAAATGTTTAAAATAAAAATCTAATTTTGGTCTGGCATTAAAATTTTCTGGTTGGGCAGCATAATTTTTAACTGGGAATCTTCATAGCAGTGGCTAAAATCTCTAGGCCTGGGTCAATAGGAATCTGTATTGTATTCTGTCAAGTATCACTCATGATACTTGCAGGCTCCCAGTTATAACATACTCTGCTCGTATGATTTTTAGWGGTATAGGGTGTTTTTTTCCTTCCATTAGAGTTTTAGAACTTCATTATTCTTAATATCCAAATCAGATAAGTAACATGTATTCTTTCAGAAATGTTAGTGAATTCAGCATGCAACATAYGTGCCAGATTGGTAATACACTGAGAAAGAAGTGATCAGCAAAGCAAGTTTAAAATGCCATGATAAAGCGTCATTTATTCCAGAAATTAGAGTCTGTGTCTTTGTCCTCTAGAGGTGTCTCAGAGAGTCAAATTGATGTCTTGCATGTACTGCTAACTGATTGTGTGGAAATTTTTTTAAGTTCACTTTTTCTTTATTCTTCTGTCTTTTTTACCCATCTTCCCCCATTGTAGCAAATTAGACGGCCGGATGAAAGCAAAGGAGTTGCTAGTAGAGTTGGATCCCTCAAAGTAAATATGTTTCTAACATTTATTTTGCAAGTTTTCTTCTATAGCCTACACTTTTCCTTTTGAAGGGGGAGGTGTGGGGAGGGAGGGAAGGGGCTTTTCCATTTCTCACCATCCCATCATTTTTATTTCAGTATTCTTATTGCTGTTGGGTCACATTTTGTTTGTTTCTGTGCTACACATAGAACAACTTATTAAAGGCAGGCTGCCAGTTAGGTAGCTTTGGATGACACCAGAAGAGATAGGAACAACTTTTTTAAAGTGCCTGTAATTTGGTGATCATGATTAAACCACTTCTCTGATCTATGTTGTTCGTTGTCTTAAAACTGCCTGTTACATGGAGAAGTGATTTACTCATCTTCAAACTACTGCTTCCCATCTTGAAATATAATTAAACATTTATAGTGTTTACACTTCTTGCATTTAATTGTGCAAAAGACCATTACACAAAAAAAAATTCAAAGTATATAAAGATGAAATGAAAGAGATTCACATGAGATTAATAAGAATGGAGCCACAGTTTTCCTGATTGTTGGTATGTTCTGCATTTTAATGTTTGTATAAACATACACAAATATTTAGATTGCTTAACAGATATCTAAACCAGTACCCACCAATATTTAATGTTATACCCTGATAAATGGTTTTGAACCAAGACGCCGATCATATGCGGTCCAAGCCATTTTGTTTAGGTTGCATCTCAAGAGTTGCTTCTATTTCAGCTATCCAATGTTTCACTTTTTTCCTACTTTGTTTTCTTTTAGCACCCTCTCAACCACTAATTATTTCTTTTTTCTTCTGCATAGTCCTTGCCTTTCCTGAYTTCTTGGTTTGTGATCTTTTGTTTTGGTTTTGATTTTGTATGTAAGTGTATTGCATTTGTTCCAGGGCAAGCCATCCTCTCTGTTCTCTAACACTGTTCTACAGCTGCTCTTTGTGAAAATGTTATTTCACTGAGCACAAAGAAGGGGARGGAAAGGATTAATTAGGCACCTCTTTCTGGTAATGCCACCATTTAAATTGATSTCAATATAGAAAAAGAAGCCAGTTGCTACTTTTCTGTACAAGTTCTAGCTAGAGGAATCTGTAGCGTTCCTCCCTGCCTGTGAGGCTTTATCGTTTTATCTTGTGATTTGGGAYGATGTTTTAATTACAGTGTAGATGAGAAGAGCAGAATGAGACCCTGTTTCAGTGGGAGACATTTAGGACCTGAATGTCCACTGAATTCATATGGAGAAAATACAAGACAGCTACAGTTTTTATGCTGTTTTTGAAAAATGCAGTGATCCATGCATTTTAAAGCATGGGTCATCACATGCAATTCTAGATGCATAATGTGCATATGCAGAAGATGTAGCTTATTTAGAAGGTGACTTTCACCTATTATTATTAAGTCCCATTGAAAGCTTATTTCAGATTAATATTCCTTTATCTGATTTCTAGGATTTAATTCCATGACCTAAAATATATGTGTAGACAGAAAACCTTACATATAGAAAACTGGAAATCATAATTGAGGTTTCCAAACATGAAAATTTACCTCTAAAATTTTCTTTTATGGAAATAAATGGTACAACACAGCCTTACCAATAAATAAGCAAATCRATAAATAAATGTAGCACATATTCAGTTGCTTTAGAATTACGTTTTCTTTTCTTTTTTTAGAGTTTTCTTTTCTTTTTTTTTTTCCTGTAGTGAAAAAGAGCCATGTTAAGCAAAGATATCTTCCTTCCAGATTTGAAGTTTACTGAACTTGTACATTTGTGTTGTTCAAAGCACTTTGATGTCTTGAAATGTTTTGGCAGAGGCAGTGAGAAATGCATTATGCTATGATTTATTAAAAACAAAATAAGACTCAAAAAAGAAAGAACAAAAGAAAAATGAAGGGGTAAAAAACTTGACAAGAGAACAGGTTGCTTTTTCAATTTGTTTTCTGATATTTACATGTAGCTCCATTGAAAGCTAGAGTAGCTCAGAGATCACCCAGAAGGCAATGTCAAAGATGCTCTCTCCGAGTAWATGTATGATTTCATTCGATGATCTAATTATTTTTTAAACTTCTGCTGGCTWGTAACACCAAATCTGATTGGTTTGTCTTCTCATCCCCATCTTTTTCCTTTCTCTATTTCTCTCTTTATGTTTTTCTTTTCTAGCTGGGGTTTCATTTTAATGTATGTGAGAAACCTGACCTGATTGACAAGTTTTTTTTAAAAGAATATCCTACTGCATTTTAATGAATGCTAATCAAACCACTTGACTTTATGGAAACTAAAAAAAAATCCTTTCCAAAATCAAAGTTGYATATCTAAGAGTTCTGTGAATATTAAACTTGGCAATGAATAAAACAGATACCCTTAATTTAAAGGATAAAAATACCTTCTGCTGGTGATTGATAAGTCTTACCTGAACCAAAAACTATGGCTGATATACAGTAACCCAAAAGCATATAGGTTCACATGTACCTGTCTTTGCTGTCGAYCTCTTCAGGTCCCTATTTTATCTCACAAAATAGGTCAATTTTTGGTTGAATGACAGCTATGCAAATTTTGTTGCTCATACTTTTTAGCAGACTAATGCAAAAATTTCCTATGTGTCACATTTGTTCTTTATTAAAAAATAGTTGTGAAAGGAGAATTAGGACCTACTATATCAGTTATGACACCCTATAAAGTCACCCATTTTTCACGGACTTATTTAATAAAACAAGTCAAATCCAACATAATAGTATGGATGGCAGTACCTCTTGTTTATWGATTCATCTCACAAATTAAGAACAGCTTTTCAGCAATTCTATATGAAAGTGTCTTTAAGCCATGTAATTTCGTGTGTAATGAAAATTAGGAAAAAAATTTGTAGCAGAGAAGATGTGAAAGTTAGTAACACTTTATCCCTTTGCACATCCATCCACTGAAGGGTCTCTCARTAATTTCTTTCGATTCATGTCCTCTTTGTCTTCCATACAGTATGACTGTTGTCATTCTCAGCACTGTCATTCTAATGCATAATCCACTAAGGTTATACAGTGCAAGGTAATTTTTGTAATGGAAATTATTTAATAATTTTTGCCCCTTTTGGGTGCTTTGGCATATACAATTTTGTATCTGAYATAAAGTTGATTACTGCCTTTTGTCAAGCAGAAATTATTGAGTTTATAATCTTTTGCAGGTCAAATACAAGGAAATCAAGCTGCTAATATATTGCAGTTTTCTATAAAATAAATTTGATTAAAGGACAGTATCTTTTTCCTGGCAAATCTTTTAGGAATCAATTATTGGGGGAAATAAACTGTGTCTYATTTTAAATTTGGTGATAACACAATCAACACAAAGTTGTAAATTCCTTTATTTTAGACTACTCATTCTTAAATTCATGATTTAATACTTAAGAATAAATGTAAAGCCAGAAAATAAAATAGGCCACGAAACTTTGTACTATTAAAAAGATCTTCTAATCATACATTATTTCACAGAATGTCACATGGGGAAAGATTTCAAATTAAAAGCTGTGACTACATTAGCCATGACAGCATGACAACATTAGTTGTCAAGAAATTGTCCTGTTCCTCTGTGTGCCTTTATCTGTTATTTCATGACCATGCCCTACATGATGGAAATCAGCCAGTTAGTAAGGAATGTAAGTAAGTAAACAAAGAAATGTTCCATATATTCTGCATGTGCCTTTAAGTTTCTTAAAACAAGCAGGACTCATTGCTAAAAGTTGCTGCTTTGTCACTGCTGCTCTGATTCATGCAGTAATAATGGATGTTCTAGATATGACAACATTTTAAAAGACAGTATACAAATGACTGATCAAAGAGAAAAAATAGTGGACAATTCTCAATCGTGGACAATTTGGGAAAAAATAAAGAGGCATCTGTTAATAGTTCATTTTCAAAATAATTTTCATCTTTTCCATACTGCTTTTGAAAAGGGTTTTAGATGTAGGTTTTTGATAGTCCTACAATGTGGCAAAAGTATTGAATGGTWTGGGAGGGGGAGCATTTAGTATCTGATGGCCAGCCCCATAAGTGAAAATGAAATACTATTACACAATTGTGTATTGGACAATACCATTAAGGTGGAACCTTTATTCCAGAATGAATTGCAAAGACTTTCTTTCCATGTTAAATTCAAAGGCCATTGGAAATATGTAGGAAAATTGGAATTCTGCAGAATATCACATATGCCACCAAAAGTTTGGAAAGCTTGCCAGATATCAGAAATAAAATTGCACTGAAAACATGCATGAAAAATTAGTTAATTAATCAGTTTGGGGGGTTGACTAGTTTTCATTTTTAATATATTTTAATATCAGCAGTAATGCATRACCATTTATTAAGAAGTTATCCTGACCTAAGGTTTGGTTTTGCTYTTCTTCTTGAGATGTTCATTCACCATGCAGTTCTTTTCATTACTTAATCCTTTGACCCTTGCAGTGACCAGTTTGACACTGAAATGTTTAGAATATTTAGTGTTCTATCACTTGGACATGGTAGCATTCCCCCCCTGCTAAAATTAATGTAGCAGTAACGAGTAAGTGCATTTTCTACTGACATGACCAATGGTGAAAGAGTTGACTGGTTTATATTTTATAGCTCGTAATACCTCSGAAAATAGATTTTCCCCTCTCCCCACAGCAGTACAGGCTGCAGATTTTAAACACAAGTTAATTCCTGCAGAAAAAATATTACGGAAAGTCCATGAGAAAAAAAAAATCTAAAAGTTCCCAAGTGCTTCACCTAACATAGGCTTCACCTAACACAATACGCAGKGGTTATCAGGTAGCATACAAAATAAGGAGAGCTGCCCCTTCTCTCAAACTGGATGAAACAGTCACTGAAATTCAAGTATGACAACAAATTGTAAGTAGAGTAGGTGATAAATTGGAGTAACGTCACCGGAGCTTGGAAAAGTATTGACATTTAATTTTAATACAGGAACAATACACTTAAAATATCCTGAAATCGGGTAGATGCTTAAAGACTAGTTAGCAAGAAAGGAGTG